AGGAACAGTTTTTCCATTATCACTAAGTGTTATCTCTTCCCTTGAGAATTCCAGTGGTGTGTTTGCTGCGTTGCTTTAGTTCATATCTGTGACAAATAACAGTAATAAGTCCAAATGGAGTCACTGTCATCTTAGGGTAGCTAATAATTATATAAAAAAATGACCCCATTTAGGATATTTTTGCTTCAGCTAACACTAAGGTAAAAGATACTGCAAAGAATACACTTCTTTAGAAATCATATTGGAGCAAGTAACTCTTAACAAGAGATCCACAGATGAACCACCAACAGATAACTTATCTTACAGGAGTGATTAAAATAACGTGCAACAAACTTTCAACTTCCAGAACTAAATGGATGTGCTAATTTTAGGTAATCTTCTGCATACATTTATGTTTGTCATATTATTTTACAACCAAAAAACTGGTTTAGCCATGGCCGGTATGGATCAGTCAATTGGGCATCGTTCTGTGCACCAAAAGGTTGCCAGTTCAATTCCTGGTCAGGGCACATGCCTGGGTTGCAGACTAGATCCCCAGAAGGGGCATGCAGAAGGCAGCCAATTCATGTTTCACTCTCACATTGATGTTTTTCTCTCTCTCCCGTCCCCTCTTCCTAAAAAAGCAATAAAATGTTATTTAAAAAATAGTGGTTTTGAGGTTGATTTCTTCTCCCTAAGTCATTTGGTGTAGAATATTTGTTTTCTAAGTATTAGTAAGACCCAGTATCAAGCATGTCATCCAGAGGAGCTGCCAACTTTATATGCAGCATTCCAAATAAGTCATTTCTTTCCATTCCTGAAATTATGAACTGAAGACCTTGCCATATAAGTGTATGAAGTATATGTTTTTTATTCAATTCAATGAAATAAAATATAAATAAAAATGAACCTAGTTAAAATAAATAGATTTAACTTCTACCACAAACACAGGCTTTCAACATCGGGAAAACCTGGGGTTAAAAATCCATATTGAAACACTTATTATCTCTGCACCTTTGGACAAGTTAATTAATCTCCAGGCCTCAGTTTTCCAATCTGTTCACTAGGATAACAATATCTTTCTGTTCTGTAGGTGCTGTCCAATGAGGTCACTTATTTAAAGGCTCTGTGCTCAGGTGCTCTGCTTAATCTGTTCCCTGTGCTCCTCATGCTGTCCCCATCTCTGTCTACCCTGAGCATTCTTCCCTATCCCGTGCTTCTCTGGAAGTACCTCTTCTAAAACCCCTAAAATGGAGGAATTTCCCTGGTCTTCAAGGTCTTAGAAGTCCCAGGATACATACTTAGTTTCTACAAGGCTTAAACTATCCATGATTATGTGAGAGAAGGTCTGGGAATCCAGGAGTAAAGTGAGCTTGAAACATGGGGTTATCTGTGGCCCACAGATGACAGAGCCATCCCACTCATGCAGTGGAACTTGTGTGTGTCCAGCTCTTGAGTGCCACAGACTTCGTTGGCAATTTAGGATAT